AACTTGGATATGAAAACCGGAATGTAAGGATGGCTTCGGGGATTTAAACACAGAGCTTCGACACGAGAAAGGGAAGAAATTAGCAAAAAATGGCTGGCACCCTCGCATACTATTTATAAGGGTGTGAGAGGCTTCATACGCTGGGCGTACTTCAGAGTTACGTGGGGCGTAGTGCCTTCGCAGCTCGTACGCTGGGCGTACTTCGGAGTTTCGTTGGGCGTTTCGGACGTTACTGCATGCGTACTTCGGATTGGACAGGAGCATAGAGGCGTAGGGGCGATGTGGACGAACCGAGTCCTAGCACCCGATTACGCTGGGCGTACGAGGGTACGCTGGGCGTAAATCGTCTTTGTTTGTGTGCCTGAAACTTGTAAAATCCGTAACTTTCGCATACGAGCTCCGTTTTTGATGTTCTTTATATGCACGCGTAGGTGAGAATGTAGTCTACAACTTTAGTTTAGACTCCGTCAGCTAGTTTTGAATTTATTTTTAATTGTTTATTTTTAATAGGTCGGGACATGAAAAGTCCGTTTAAAATCCATAACTTCTTCATCCGACGTCCATTTTCGTCAGACTTTTTACCGTTGCGCTACTATTGTTGAGATCTTCGATTCTCATTTAAGTTGTTTTGGCCAAAAATCTCTCGATCTCTATTTCGAGTTTTTAGCTGTGTGTTGCTATATCTGGAACTTGGAAAAGTTATAACTTCTTCATACGAAGTCAGATTTGGACATTCTTTTTACGTACGTTTATGGTTTAATGATATCTATCATTTTATGCAACCCAATGGAGACTTTTGAACATTTTATTTTTGATGCTATTTTCATTATATCAAAAGAGACTACACTTCTTGACTTTAAGGTCATTACATTGATTTGAAATATCGGGTTGTCACATATGAAATTTGATGGCTTTTGGCCATTTTACACACATCACAGATAGAATCAAACTGTTTATTATTCAAAAATAATTCGGGTTTTGGTTTTTTTAAATAACCAAACGATAAATGCCCTAATCTACGATGCCATAACCAAGATATAGAACTCCCTTCTTCCATGTTGTACGCTTCAGTTGGTCTTTATTCTTCAAGATAGTACAACTTGCCATTCCTAATACCATAGCTAAGAGTCCTATTCGTCATGATGTCCTGAAACACACATTTTTTTTGCCAAAAAGTTACATAACAGTTAAGTTGATCTATGATTTGACTGATAGATAATAGATTCGAAGACAAGGCTGGAACAACTAGGACAGTGTCAAGATTTATGGAATTTGACACTTGAGCAGAACCTTCACATGTTACTTTTGCTAATCCCTCATTTGCTGTTTTCACCATGTTTTGCTTATGCCGGGTTTTAATGCCAGCTTAGACGGATCATTTGTCATGTGATCTGTTGCCCCTGTATCAATAATCCATTCACTAATCACAGGCTTAGTTGTAGTTGACATACCATGGTTGTTGAATGACTCAGCGTGGGCAACAATTGGGGTTGCATCATCATTCTTTGTTGTGGCCATAAAGGCTTGTCCCACCTTCCTTCGTGGCTTCTTTGAAAAATCTCACCACTCCGGGTAGCCTACAATCTCATAACACTTCTGTTTTGAGTGCCCTTCTTCTCCATAATGAGTACACACAAAAGTGTTTTTTGTGGTTGGAATTGTTTTCTTTTAGAGGGCGATTTCAAGTTGTGAGATGCACAAGACTATCAGGTTCATTCTCCACGTCTTCCATAGTATTTCTTTAGGACTGGTCTTTTCGTATGAACACATCAATGCCTCAAGATCCAAGGGTGGGTCTTTTCTTAGGATCTCCCCTCATGCTTGGTTAAATTCAACATCTAACCCTGCAAAAAAGATGTGTACACGGAGAAGCCCTAATATTTTACTAAGCGAAACTACATGTCTCATATCATCTTCCTCGACCATCAACCGGTATTGAACTCCTGAAAGATCCATATCAAATTTTTGTAGTATGCTGCGAGTGGTCGTCCATTCTGTCTAGTACTGAATGACCTACGATTCAGTTCGAACAACTAAGTTTCGTCCGATCCGTCATAGAATGTCTTTGCCACCGCGTCCCAAATTTCTTTCGCCGTCTTCAAACGGATAAACCTCAGGATCAAGGTGGGGTTCATCGAGTCTATGAGCCAACTCTTGACCCGATTATTATCCATGAGCCAATTTTTGATTTGTTTTTCACCGGATTCAGGCTTCTTGGAGGATCCGGTTAGGAATCCCAGATTATAGCGTGCTCCAATCCTCATCTCCATCAGTTGGGACCACAACTGATAGTTTGTGTCATCGAGGATGATCCCACTCGGGAAGGGAGCATCCTAAACAACCAGGCGAGGTTCTTGAGGAGGGATGGGGTCTTTGTCTGTCATTGATCTTCGAGAGGTGATTTTTCGATTTGATTCAAAGAGTTTCAAACGGTATGCTTTGATACAATGAAAACAAGAAATTCGTATTAAAGGTTTTTTTTATATATTTTTCTTTATAGAGGGATTACATATATAGGGATTTGAACACAAAAAAGGAACTATACAAGGAAGGGATATGACAGTAACAACACCCAATAACTTCCATGTTTATCTGATCTTTTCAATACTAGCCAAAGATAGTTTGATCTTATGCAATATTCACTCTCGCTAACAAGATGAATGTACATTATGATGGGGCATTATTACAATCATAAAACACATTGAAATAATTGCTATCAATGCTAAATAATGATAGAGAGTTATGAAAGAAATGGAGAATCCAATAGTCATTCATAAACTAATATTTCATAACACTCCCCTTAAATGACTATTGTATCATGCATCGTTAAAACCTTAAAATGTAAAGCTTCATGGGAAAAACCCTTTGTAATAATCCATATCAAAATAAATTAAATAAAAATATGATCATATTATATTAACAGAATAATGATTAGTCATAGTTAATGATTCAATTAGGGGCAAATTATGGAGATTAATGTCTAAAATTGTCACTTTCAATGGGGCTGTAAATTCGAGCAAATAAAAGGGTTGCACCAGTTATAGACTTAGGTAGTATATATAGCTTGAGAAATCAATTGGAAACCCCACCGGAATTGCGAAAAAGGGTGAAGAGTCGAGGAAGAAATCGGAGGTAGAAGGTTGTGAAGGATTTCAAAGTTTTCTTAGAAATTAAGGTATGATTATGCGAATTAAGCTTGATATAGTTGCTTAGATAGATGTATATGCATGCTAGGCATATTTTGGTTCAGTCTACTATCTCAATTTCGTCCAACTAGAATAAATTTGACAAGTAATTTAAAGGAACGTTTTTTTATGATTTGTTTAACCTAGAATGTATGGAGCGAAATTCAAATAACTAGTTATGGAATATTGGTTAACAGAGGTAGAGAAAAATAATAGTGATTTTTGTTCAATTAATTGATGCTATTTTGAAAAAAATAAAAAAAAATCACAGTTTCAGTAAGCTTAAAAGAAATGGTAGAAACAAGGAAGAGAAAATTGCGGGTAAAGGAGGATGTATCGTTGGGTCGGATAAAGTTATTTTCATGAATGGGTTAAAAGGCAATTTTATCTAACAAGGAAAAAAATATTTCAATTTTCTTTTGAAAGACTATGAGTCTATAACATTGGTCAACTGGAAAAGACATGGTGCTTGCAGTCGAGTTACTGTGCGCTTTTCGTTTTACAAACTTAAGAATATAACGTTTCCTTTTACAAGTATTTAGAATTATGGATTTATCCCCTAAACTTAAAAAAAAAATATTATTCTTAGACTATGATAAAGGTAGTTAAATGTTTGGTATATAACCCTCAGTTTTCATAATTTCCAGACTATTTTCACTTTATGGTTTCGACATACCTTAGTTTTAGCCCAACACCTTTGTATTCCATTTAATGAAAAGTATTATAAAACATTTTAGCTTTGAATTATTAAATTGTATTTTGGAGTAACATTTTAAAAGAAGTATTATAATTTTTCACGAAGGTTTATTAAAAAAAAAAGATGGAAAATCATAATCAACATCTAAATTTGTAATTAGTCGGTTGGATGAGACATGTGGACGATTGAACTAAAATTTCACAGGATTTTTTTAGTGTTATGGCCTCAGGACAATATGTTGGTTAAATGTAGGGTGCGTGTAGCGTGACAAGGCTTGGTTAGAACCTAACTCCAACGAGGTGAATTTCGTGTGAATTTTGTGGTTGCTTGCATGAAAAGTTAATTCTAAATTATTTGCAATTACATGTTATTGTTATTATTGCTATGAATATTTGTGTGAAACCTTATGAACTATTTCATCTATAATGGTGAAAATGGTGGGTGACATATATATAGAGAACAAGTATATTTACACGGTTTTATTATTAGTCGTCGTAAAGGGTGTTAGTACACGACGGAGAGCTTATGCTCTGTTTATCTAGTCATAAGCATATTTGTTGTGCTCGGTGGAGGGACTTTTCCCTGGAAATGACAGTAGTTCCCTAATGTGTCACCAAGGGTGGATAGAAATGAAAAGAATTATAATTGATAAATTATTGCATTATTTTTATTACTTTATTGACGTCAATATGCATGAAAACCACGAACTCACTAGACCCTAGGCTTACCCATTAGAATTTTAAATGCACGCAACCCATGAAATAATGTAGCAAGTGGCAGCGGAAATGGAAAGGATAAAGTTCACACTTGAAGAAGGCGATAAGTTTTAAGGAACACGTAGCGCAACAAGAGTTTACATAGATTCCTATTTGTTTCCGCTATTATTATTATTATTATTATTATTATTATTATTATTATTATTATTATTATTATTATTATTATTTATAATGACTATAGTATTTGATATTTCGAATATTAGAAGTTTTGAGACCATGTTAAGTTAATATTGGTATTTGAAATTTTGGGGCGTTACAAGTTGGTATCAGAGCGATGTTTAAGTAGATTAGTCGTTGTTTAAATGCCTAAGCTTAAACGGGAGGAGCGGTACATCGCCTAATATGGACTGTGTCTCGTTTGTAGGTACTATGGATCGTGGAAACGCAGTCGTCAATGGTGGTGTGTCAGGTGCGGGTACTAGTGGGTTACTTTCTAACAAGAAGTTGAAGGCCGAGTTAGAGCTCCCTGATTCGGAAGGCAGTCTAGAACCAACGACTCCACTCAACCTCTCTGAACGGGATGAAGAAGACGAGGATGTGGAATCTGAGGTGGAACCCAACGAAAATCCGGAGGAGGATCCCGAAGAAGACCCGAACGAGGAACCTGAAGAAGACCCCGCAGAGGAACCCGAGGTAAATCACATGGAGTACCATGTGGAACAAAGATACAAAACGTTCCATATGCCCTATGTGGAGTATACGCCAACTAGTCTTGGTACCTATTGGGAGCGACTTTATAAGGATGAAATGCCGCAGGCACAGCTCGAGATTCACAATTTGAAAAGAAAGATGGAAGAGATAGATGAGAATAGGTCAAGGATCGTACAGGAGAACCGAATACGGGTTGAGGTTGCTGAGAAGAGTAAGAGCAAGATACAAAGGTTAGAACAGGAAGTGTTAGAGCTAAGGAAACCCACTATGGCTAAGCTGTGGGAAGGGTTCGTATCTCGCGCAAAGCAAGTCAAGGCCGCGACATACAGATTTCTGGATAGGGTGCTTGGAAGAGACCCACCTCAGGCCGAGGTGTTGGTCATCCAGAGTGGGCCTAGTGATCGTAAAGCTAAAAAATAAGGAAGTACTTGAAGGAGGGAAAACGAATCTTGAAATATGAGGACAGCGTGTTAAAAAAAGTAGAAAGTGGGAGTTTGATGAGTTGTTTTTTTTCTCTTAGTTGTTGGCTTAAGTTGCTTGATGTGAACAAGACATGTATCTCTTTTTGAAGTTTGATAATTTGGAATAAAGTTTATGTTTGATATACTTATGGTGCTATAAATATAAATATCCAGTTAATGTGTCTTCAAGAAGATTTGGGAGGTTCACTAGGGTCACCCCGGAAGATGAACAAATCCCAATTGGGGCTTATGTCAGAGCACCAGGAGACGTACCAGAAACCCCACTGATCCCAAATGCTAGTCGTGGACGAGGCCAAGGAAGGGTCAGGGGTAGAGGAGGAGGCCGAGGAGCTGTTACGACATCGATACCTGCACAATCTGCCCATGGCAGCTTCAGATCCCACCACGGTCGAGGCCGAGGTCTTGGAAGGGGTTGTGCTGTTGGGTTTTGGTATACTACAACATCCTATGGTGCATATACAACCCTAAATACCTTGGATCTATGTTTTCACTAATTATACATGCAAATGGTTTCCAAGGTATTAATCTTACAACTAGCATGCATTTAACATAAAAATATAATATACTAGTTAGGATGACATACCTTTTGATGGAGCTTGAATTCTTGGTGTATTTGGTCTTAAAGAGCTTAGCCCCAATAGTGTGGAAGTCTCAAATGGAATCACAACACACCATGGACAAAGGATGAACTTGAGAGAGAATTCCATGCACACAAAAGACACCATGAACTCTAAAAAGATACAAGTCGCAATTTTGGGAAGTGAAGTATCTATTTATATGTGGGATTTCTAGGGTCATGAATATAACCCAAATCCATACCCATGGGTTTTATGATCCATGGTTCATGTGGCCCAACTCTTTATGTATCCATACATAAACTTGGTCCAACATGGATTATAAGCCCAACACATATAAATATAACTAATTATCATAATTAGTCCCCATAGATTTAATTAGTCTCTTTCGAACACTAAATTAATTCCAAATTAATTCTTGATCAATACTAATTAAAACATACGATTTCATATTAATATATTATTACTTATAATATATTAATAAACCATAATTAACCTTCTCTCAAAAGTCCATCCTAACAAATTGTACTGATGATAAGCAACCCAAATGGACCATGCTACTCTCGGGTCGAATACATACCAATAATAGTTATGGGCTTAGACACCTAATCCAACACGTGCAACAAACATGATCACCAGAGAAGAGTTGGTTGATGAGATTGCGCAGGAAATTCGAGACACCTTGCCCGATGTAGTTTCTCAGGCACGAGAAGCTATAATGGGTGAGTATGAAGGTAACATGAGTGGAGGTGAAGAAGGCTATGAGTACAATACACCCAATGTGAATCGGGAACCAAGTATTGCTCAACCCTCAAGGCATCATGTCAACCACGATCAATGAGGTTGTAGTTATAAGACATTCATGAGTTGAAAACCACCCATGTTTAATGAAGAAATTGATCCCGTTTTTTCATCAACATGGATCATGGAGATTGAGGGAACGTTTGATACTAGAAAGTGCGCGGAGGAAAACAAGGTGATTTATGCTGCGACAATGCTAAAAGCGGAGGCAATACATTGGTGGGGCATGGTGAAGGAAGTTAGGGGTGTGAGGCGGCCAAGAATATTCCATGGGATGAATTCTAAGAATCTTTAAAGAAAATTTTTGCCCTCGAACAACGGTTAAATAGTCGGAGGAAGAATTCTTGAGGTTGGAGCAGGGGAATATGACTGTGAGGGAGTACACCCTCTAGGAGATTCCGGTTACAACTCGGGCCATGACAATGAAGGCATGCTCCGATACATTGGATCACATTTATGTTAAAGTATATTTGTATATGTAATGTATTGTTTCTCATCATAGTATCGTTGTATATGTTCTCATCCTAGTATACTTGTATATGTTCTCATCCTAGTATAGTTGTATATGTTATCATAATAATAAGTAATGACTCATGAATGAACTGAATCTTGTATGCTTCATTGGACTAGAAGTAGTAAGTAGTATAACTCTAAACTATACTTGTTAAGTTTATTAGTAAACTTGTTTGTATGATTGAATGTACTGAACTGAGATAAAAGTCTTTATATCTATACATATAAACATAATATGTAACTAAGGCTTCAACGACACTCGGAAAAACAACCGGGTACTTTAAGACCACAAACAAACAAGGACAGGAAGTGAAGTGGGTTATCTCTCCTAAGTCCTTCAAACCTTATTTATATAACTATATATGTAGTAGACATGGTTTTAACAATATATAAGTTTGAAAACTGTAAAATAAAGGTTTAGTATACAAAAGTGAATTTGATAATGAGTTTAACATGTACAATAGTTTGATAAATAGTTTGAAGTCATTTGATGGGTAAAACATTTTAAAATATGATAAATCCATTTGTATGCTAGTTATTAATCAAATGCGATTGATCTAATAACCAACATGATTCAACTTGTATCCCCCCTCACCCCCATAAAGCATTTAAAAAAATTTAAAAGCATTTCAAAGGTTAATTTAGGGGTATGAACTCACTTGATTGAAGTGGTTGTTTTGAAGTAGTCGAGAGAAGAATTAAGCAGAACTTCGACTAGAGAAAACGGATTTCTCGAGATTCTTGGGAATCTCGGGGGCATGAAACTTCCTTCGGAACTTGGATACGAAAACTAGGGCTTCGAGATATTTCTTGCACTCAAAACGGAGTAAAAACGCAAAAGAAAGAGAGAAATTGAGCAAATTTGCCTGGAACCCTCGCACCCCTTTTATACGAGGCTGCACCGCCTCGGTACGCTGGGTGTACGGGGTTACACGGGGCGTACTCGTGCGTTACTGCTTACCGCATCCTCAGACGAAGCATTTGATGGGACGACATAAAGGCGTAAGGGCGACGTGGACGATCCGAGGCCCAGTACCCGAGTACGCTGGGCGTACGAGGGTATGCTAGGCGTAACTCGGATCAGTCCGGTGACTCCTCCTTCGGATAATACCGGGTATTTAAATTAAATTTTATATTTTATTTATTTAATAAAATTAAAAATATCATATCTTCCTCATACGAACTCCGTTTTCGACGTTCTTTATATACACGCGTAGGTGAGACTACGCTCTACAACTTTCGTTTAGACTCCGTCTGCTAATTTTGAAATTATTTTTATTATTTATTTTTAAAAGCCGGGATAGGAAAAGTCCGTTAAAAATCTATAACTTCTTCATCCGATGTCCGTTTTCGTCAGACTTTTTACCGTTGAAATACCATTGATGAGATCTTCGATTCTCGTTTAGTTCATGTTGGCAAAAAGTCGCTCGATCTCTATTTCGAGTTTTTAGCTTTCTATTGCTACGTCCAAAACTTCCAAAAATCGTAACTTCCTCATATGAAGTCAGATTTGGGCATTCTTTTTATGTATGTTCACGGTTTTGGGATATCTATGACTTTCATTTAGACACCTAAGGCCGAAAAGTATCTTATTGAAATTTCTCGTTTTATGCTTAACAGTGTTTTACCGGTATTGTTACGAATCTTTGATTGGTCATAACTCATTCGTTATAACTCGGATTTTATTGTGCTTTATATTTTTGGAAACCTTATCACGATATCTACAACATAGTGTACTCAAACAGAGCTTTTTGAACATTTCTTTTTCGATGATATTCTTATTACTTTACAAATAGGTTACGAGGCTCGACTTTTAGTTATTACATTGACCTGAAATAATGGGTTGTTACAACAACCAATATGGCTCCACTTTGCAATCTAATCCTAACAGAATCGTTACAACCCTAAATTATCTTGTTGACCAACATTCACATTTTCGATCTATCCAAGATCTTTTGATCTACGAATTGATATACTAATTATTTGAAGCATCGGATTCCCAATAGGTCGCTGAAACCAACATCCTTTCAAATGAATGTACCACGAGACTCCATCCAAGAGTCTGTCTGGCCAAGCTACCTTAACCTGCTTGTATATAAGGCTTCAACAACCCTCTTATTCAAACCAGGGATATCATAACCAATCATCACACTGATACAATGTAACATGCTTGCTCTAAATGAATGTTACACCTCCAGCTGTAGTCTTACATCGCGACCAACCCCATATGGCCCACATCCTTCCTTGATCCCACGAATATTGGGGCCTTCCCACAGTCTCACAACACCTCTATTACTACCCGCCAACCTAATGAATGCTATGACCACCACACAGTCTTACAACACTTCTATCACTACATGCCAACCTAGTGAATGCTACGGCCAACTCGTAGTCTTACAACACTTCTATCACTATCTGCCAACCTAGTGAATGCTATGACCCCCCTCCCCAGTCTTACAACACTTCCATACTACTGGTCAACCTAGTGAATACTACGACCACCCCGCAGTCTTACAACACTTCCACATTGCCATGGACCTCATCCAACTATACCCTAATTAAGTATTTGAGTTATGCTTCGAACCCCAAAGCCTTCATTAGACAAGAATAGACAAAGAGGCTCTAACATAAACTTCCACTTGAAACTAAGCGCCACCTTTAATGCACAAGGTAACCTGAATTCTCATTCATTGTGTAATCCCATAGTCCAAGCGGTTGTCCCCCCCTTGGATTCATCTGTGCTCTTGCAACCACAAATTTGATAGATTTCCAGTCTATCTCGTGACCTTACTAATCGAAGCTGCCAACAACCCGAGCCTACAAGTACTTGCGTTCCATTACTAGCCAATCCTACCGAACACACACCTACCAAAATTGAATGAATACTCCCCGAAATCTCAACGAGATCGATATTCCCGAGCACTTTCCACTAAATCCATTATAAGACCTCGACGACATTAACGGATGACGAAGAACAAAATCTTAACTATCGAAACGGGTACCCAACCAATTCAACTACCCTTTTTACTTTCGGATGACTCTAACATCCCGTTCACCACTGATTGATATATATATATATTATATATATATATATATATATATATATATATATATATATATATATATATATATATATATATATATATATATATAATAAGGGATTGCATAAATTAAGAGTTTTTAGGTGTTTCAGTGAGTTGCAACCGCAGGTTTCAGTGAGTTCCAGGTTCTCCGGAGAGAGTCGTCACCGTAATCGGAGAGAGAGATGGAGAAATATAGTGATTGTTGGCGATGGTAAAAGGGAAAGAGAGGAGAAGATAGCGGCCTTTGACGGGTTCCTACTTTCGAGTGAGGGGGCGGAAGGTTTAGAAGTGGTAGAAGGAGGGAGGCGGAAGGTTTAGAAGTGGTAGAAGGCAGGAGGCGAAAGTTAGAGGAGGTAATCGTCGGAGATGGTGATCGGAAGACCTACTCTAAGCAAGTAAGTGAAAAAGGTAGGGGAAGAAGAAGGCTCGTTGGGCTTTTGGAGTTTGTAGATTTGTGGTTGTAACTTCAACAATTAGAAGAGAGTAAAATTGTCCATCTATTATTTGTATCAGTGGATAAATAAAAAACTTGAGTGGAAAAATAATTGATGGTAATGTAACACTCACCCTTAGTCGTCTCTGTAATGATAATGTGACACCCAACCACCATTATAACGAATTAATAATGGATAATATAGGTGACCTAAGCAATTATCCTATTATCCTATAAATAATGTGTATTAATAAATATTTGATGTATGGAATTTGTTGATGGAAATCGTTTATAAAACCTATTCAACATCAGTCGGGCGATATGATTCTAGTACCCTTTTCCAATCCGCTTTTATTTCCCTTCAACCGTCTTTCACTCTCTTCTACAACCACGCGCCACCACAGAAGCCATGGCCACGGCGAGGACGATGAGCATCGTGGATCATGAACTCCCCGACGATACACACAACATCTACGACGTCACATTCTTCGAAGACACCATCTCAACTATAGTCACAAATACACCATCATACGTCGACACTTGGATCTCCGACATCGAACGCATCCACCGCAGCCGTCTCCACTCCCTCGTCGTCGGCCTCGATGTTGAGTGGCGTCCTAACCAGAGTCGGAACTTCGAAAACCCAGTGGCCACGCTCCAACTCTGCGTGGGACGCAGCTGCTTAATTTTTCAGATCCTCCACTCCCCTAACGTCCCTTCGTCGCTCAGAAACTTCTTCAGTAATCCCTCCTACACCTTCGCCGGCGTCGGGATCGATAACGACTTGGAGAAGCTCACGGAGGATTACAATCTGGTGGCTGCGAAAACGGCTGATGTGAGGGCGTTGGCTGCGGAGAAGTATGGTTTGAGGGAGCTTAAAAATTCAGGGTTGAAAGAATTGACGAGAAGGGTTCTTGGGAAGGAGGTGAGCAAGCCGAAGGCGATTACGATGAGCAGATGGGATAATCAATGGCTGACTTCGTCTCAGGTACAGTATGCTTGCATCGATGCTTTCTTGAGTTTTGAGATCGCGAGGGTCTTGATTTCTGGGAATCAGAACTGAATTTGAATTCGCCATCTTTGATCTAAGGTAATTTGATTTAGGGTTCTTAATTTTTCATGTTTGATTTGATGATGATTTATCTATCCATTTAGGATTTGGGTTTACAAAACGATTCTGTACAGGATTTGGATCTATGTAATGTATTTCTTAGTGTTCTGTGTTCATCTAATTACACAATACCTTTGAATTTTTTAAATTAAAATTTCTTTTTCCTCAATTATTGAGCGACTTTGTTTAAAGTTGTTTGATTGTAAAGATATTTTATTCCTTTTTGTCAATTCTTATGTAGGCCTAGTTGTTGATTTTTAATGGAAATTGGCATTACGATGCCTTATTTTTGATTGTTTGAAGGTAGACAATGCTTTTTTGCTTTTATATATTTATTCTATGCTTGGTCTTTTAACAACTAAAATTGTAATTCGGTTGATTTTGATACGATTTTAGTTTAGTTCGGATAATACATATCTATATTTTAAAAAACGAAGTCAATTTGAATTTACGTTTTCATTAATCCATTCATGTGACCATCTTAAGTTGAGGTGCACATAGGTCCACGATCCAAAACAAGTTTTCAAACCGATTCAAAACTGATTTAGGAACTAGTTTGGTTGAAACCGGTCCATTATCGGTTTGAGGATTTTAAAACTGAAACCGGTTTGAAAAAAACAATTTAGAAACCGGTTTTCAAACTCATGACACATTTGTTTTTTTCATTTTGTGAAAAAAATACTGTTTTCATCCATTTTATCTTCAATTTGTTGTTTATACAAGGTGCTAGAGGGTTTTCAAAAGGATAATTATCGTTGTAGTCCAACAAACTTATTAGTTTTGGTTTAATGGTCATTCGTGATAATTTTTGCATTATAAGGGAATGAATTTATATTTTAAGGTTTTAAAATGGCATTATGAAAAATGTAAAGGGGTCACCCGATGAACCCCTTCCTACGCAGCGGGTACCATTTGACACATCATTAAAATAAAGTCACCTTGCTTGCTACTTGTCTTCTTCTTCCTTCTTCCTTGTTGGCTATGGTAATCCCTTTTGCCTCTTGAAATCCGATAGGATCGGAGGAACGAGGAAGACGTACAAAATCATAGTACAATTTCGAGTCATTTAGTCAAATAACTATAGAATAACGAGAACAAAAAAAATCATTAGCAAAACCAAAGGAAATTAAAAGGGGGGGAAAATTAGGTAAAATCCTTGTAATCCATTGTTGCCTGCTGCCATCAATTCCTCCACCAATAATCGCCGGCTAGTTATCCATTGCCTCCGATCCATTTTTGTTCTCAGTTACGCACAAAATAATGCTTTCCTTCACCTGAATCATGGGTATCAAACGTTTGCTTTGAATTTGAAGCTCTATGATTCGTGAAAATGTAATAGTTGTTAATCACGCCTCTAACAAGACTATCAGATGCATCAAACGGGTAGAATTATTCCTATTGCTACTATCGATTTTGATGATGACTTTGTTGTGGGTTTCGGCGTCACCCGAGAGGTGTTCATGTTGATCAAAGGCATTAGATTATGGTGGTTTCTGTGGTTTCTTTGATGCTATGGGATTATCCATTGTATGTATCTACACTAAAGTTTAACGAAATAGAAAATTTTGAAGAAAAATTGTACAATGAAATGATTGTTTTTACATAAATTGTGAAGGGTTGTTTCGTGAAGGCATCATCCACCTACCTACTTGATACTCCATTCTAGATACTCCACTGGTAAAGTTTGATTCACATGATCTTCAAATTGGTGACAATGAATTTTACTTCCTGCAACCCGTTCCAAGCATCCTTGGTGGTCCAATTGGGCGACCACGTCACAACCTTCTCGAACCCTAGTCCCGTTGGTAGTTACAAGATTGTGAAAGCAGATCATGATTGTTTTTCCTTATTATATGTTGTTAATCCTTAGACATGTGTCATTTTAATTTCGAATCCACCAGAAACTATGTATGTATATGTACTTGTTGTTCCTCTTAGAAAACGGTAAACAATATATGCATATGCCACATGTTCGACAAAAGTCCTCAAGGAAAGTCGTAAGTTTCTCAAATTACCTGGTTGTCAACATCAATCTTAGAAAGAAAACCAATTACAGTGGAAGAAAGGAATGAGATGATCGGAAGAAGGTGGTTGTTGTTGTTGTTGGTGGTGGTGGTGGTAGATGCCGATGACAGTGGTGGTGGTGCTATATTCAAAGGGACCAACATCAATCTTGGTCTCCAAGATTGATGCTGACTAGGATGGAGATAGAGGTATTTAATTACAAACCAACATATTATTTGCTAAATCTTGGTCTCCAAGATTGATACTGACTAGGATGGAGATAGAGGTACTTAATTACAAACCAACATATTATTTCCTAAGTAGCATTCTTCTTGGCATGATTATATTACATGTAACCTGACAAAACTAGCTGATACAAGTGGAATTCATTCCCTTATAATTAGAGATGGCAAAAAAACCCGTACCCGATGGGTACCCGAAACCCTAACCCGAGTTGACCGGGTAAATCCCCGAGTTTACCAGGGACGGGGACGGGGATGGGTATCACCCGAATATAAAAAGCGGGGATGGGGATGAGGATGGTTCTACCTGTCGGGTACCCATACCCGTACCCGAAACCGATCCCGATGGGTACCCGATATATATATATATATATATATATATATATATATATATATATATATATATATATATATATATATATATATATATATATATATATATATATATAATATTACTTATGTTTTTATCTCTAATAATGCATAAGCAAATTTTCAGTAGACAAAGTAATGTTTTTTAACAATCAAACGCATAGTTTTGGGAAGAATTTTTATGTCTTTTTTTGCAAAAAATGATTTGAATGTTATTGTTCGTGTTTGAAGACATTCAATGATTATAGTGTTTTATATTAGTTCTGTTAGTTTTTGTTTTATTAGTTAATATATAATTATTATTTATTTTTCATAAAAGTTCAAAACTTTGTAACGGGGAAAAATCCCCAATTACCCATTGGGGATCCCCGATACCTATTGGGGATGGGGATAGGGATAAATTTTTAATCCCCGATGGGGATGGGGCCTGGTACGGGGATGAGGATGGGGATGGGGATTCGGATACGGGGATGGGGAGCACGAAACCCGGTATGCCCATACTCATTACCATCCCTACTTATAATGCTATATATATATATATATATATATATATATATATATATATATATATATATATATATATATATATATATATATATATATCATTAGGGACCATTTAAACTAAAACCCGAAAGTTCGTTGGGTTACAGTGACAATAACCATTTTCGAAAATGGTTTTTAACCCTTTAAAAGTACATTGTTATAATATGTCGAATCGGATGGATCTAGTGGTGTTCTGTTGCATCTACAAAATATTGTGGGTCCTCCCATGCGATAACATCTCATTTATGCTAAAAATAATATAAGAAAATCGTAAGGCATTAACTAATAAAAATTTAATAGTGTAATTACTTAATTGATTTCTATAAAATACATCCATATTATTGGTTCAAGATAACAAAATTAAACTTAAAACCAATTACAAAAGATTTGAAGGGAATCAATTTCACTAACAATTATGTTTGATTAGTCTTTAATATGTCAACAATTACTTAAACATTCGGAAATGGCCCAATTGATTAGTCTTTAATATGTCAATAGTGTTCTATTGAATTAATAGATATGATTATTGTTAGTGTAGCCCAACAATGTATTGTACATTTACCCATTTTTGAAGGTCACAATTACCTTGTCAACTACCAATTAAGCAGGTGAGTCAACAATGACTCGGTGGTGAGTTGACTCATCGTGCTACGTAAGTCAAGGAGTTATTACGCCCATTTAGTCAACTGCCAACTTGAACAAAATTCCAAATGTAAGTGACGGAAGAAACCACTTGAGGGAAGACATGAACGACCATTCTAGATAATACACTGATGGCTAGGGTTTGGGGAACCCGGGCTTTGAATCCAACTTTAATTCAAGCCTTAGCCTTAGAAGGCGATTGTTGACGGCGTATGGATTAAACCTATATCAACTCTAGGAAGAGAAAAACTAGGAAAAAATATAAAATCGATGGATAACCGATCTGATTAAGAAAAAAACTATAAAATCGATTACATTACATACGAATTAAACTCAGAAATCAAATACTAAGTGGAATCACATAATGTATAGATTAAACCCATATCAACTACGGGAAGAGAAAGAAGCCAAGTGAACTTCAAAAGCCCACAAATAAAGTCTTCAGTTGATTTCGATTGAAGAACCTACACTTTTATACCTTTGGTCATTCTTTCCTGATTCACAGTGAGAGGGAAGAACCGTTTATTGATTTAATTTACAGAGGACATCAGGATTGGTCAGTATAAGAAAGGGGAGGGCTGAGAGAAAAGAGATCACTAATTAGTTAGGAGACAAGGTGAGGGAGATCTCACCGTCTGCTATATATATATATATATATATATATATATATATATATATATATATATATATATATATATATATATAGAGAGAGAGAGAGAGAGAAAGATAGGTTCAGGTGTTTAAACTAATTATTGTGTTATTGTATGCATAAATGTGGACCAATCAAAATTAAATAAAAAATTCAATAGGTCATTCTTTCATGATTCAGAGTGATAGGGAAGAACCGTTTATTGATTCAATTTACAGAGGACATCAGGATTGGTCGGTATAAAAGAGGGGAGGGCTGAGAGAAAAGAGATCACTAATTAGTTAGGAGACAAGGTGCGGGAGATCTCATCGTCTGCTATATATATATATATATATATATATATAATATATATATATATATATATATATATATATATATATATATATATATATATATATATATATATAGAGAGAGAGAGAGAGAGAGAGAGAGCTAGGTTCAGGTGTTTAAACTAATTATTGTGTTATTGTATGCATAAATGTGGACCAATCAAAATTAAATAA